TCACTGGCAGAAAATGTGATTGGTAATTACAAAATGATACAGTACCGTAATCCTAAGCTTAAAAAATTGTGGGGCAAACAAACCTAGCATCAACATTGTCTGCAAAGCTGAATATCCATAGTTCAAAGCTTCTCTTTTGCATTTGGTGGGATCAGCATGGTGTAATTTGTTGAGCTGCTCAAACTAAACAAAACTATCAAGGGAGATAGCAATTGACTATGATTAATTTGTTCAAACCGAGCCCTGAAGAAAAACGGCCACTATACTTGCAGAGACCAGCTAGATGATTTTATATAACAACACACGGCCTTATGTTGAAAAACTGATAAAAACCTACCTATAGAAACGCTTAAATGGGAAGTTCTGCCCCACCCCCCAATTCACCAGATATATCCCTTTTCAATTATCACTTATTTTGTTCTATGGCACATACTCTGACTGAGCAGCACTTCCATACTTATGAAGACATTAAAAAAAAAAAAAAAAAAAAAAAGGGTTTCTTCTTGGAAAGCCTTAAAAGAGGAGTCATTTTTTCGACGTGGAATTCATATGCTGCCAGAAAGATGGGAGAAAATAGTGGCTAGTAATGGGCAATACTTTAAGTCACATGTTTTATAACAATTACTTTAACCCCTTGTCTGCAGATGGGATACATGCCTTCCCATTAAGAGTTGGGTCACTGGTGCAGACGGGATATATGCCTTCCTGATAGTGAGTTGGGTCACTGGTGTGGCCGGGATATATGCCTTCCCATCTGGGCGGTCACCACTTAAACGAGTAGGGGCAAGTCCTGCCTTCACAATTTGACTTGTGTCTTGGTCCGTGCATCCATTAGTCCCCTGTAGCTGACTCAGTGCGGTCGTTCCGGATTTAGACCATTTGGAAGCTATCAGTTGCAGATTTATTCTGAACCTAAGGTATGACCTTTCTCTGTTATTTATTTAAATGTTTTGTACATCAAATAAATGTTAATAAGTTAATTTTATAATTTTTTCTTTTTCTTTTTTAATTTTGGTTTTGAGTGAGTGCTGATTTTAGAACACATTCATCTCTGTTTACTAAATAAATAAATGTAAGTTTCCTACATTTTTCATATATATATGTAATGTAATAAATAAATGTAAAAATATACTAAAATTAAAATGTGTTTTTTCCCACGCCTAATTAACGCCTGCTTGATCAACCATGCGTAATCTTGCAGTCCAATATAATTTCGCTCTCCTAGCATAAGAATTGTCCATTTCACTAAAGAGACCTCTTATGTCCTGTAATGCAGGATATGTATGTAAGATGTTCTTCTGTCATAATATCCAATGAGCACAGAGGACATGTCGGGCTATCTTTTAGTAAAATAATACTAAATATTTTAGTAATGTAATAGTAAAAATTAATAAATGTAAAAATATATAGAATTAAAATGATACTTCAGTTGTTTTATCATTTTTCCATCCACCTAAAAACAATATGTATATTTTATATTATATTATATATTTTATATTCAAAATAAATGTAAGTGTAATAATTTTTTATTTTTTATTTTTATTGATGATATTTACAACTGTATTACAAGTAAAAATACATTCAGTAAATGTGAACAAAGGAATAAAATAGCATGAAACTTGTTGAGAAACTACCCACTGGTAGTACTCTAAAAATATTTACAAAAGGAGATCTCGAGGCCATCTTCTTTTCTGACGCCTCGGAGCGTTGTCAGGGATCTAAGAGGAAGCAAGGTTAGAAACGAGAGGGTTTGAATGGTTCTGAAGTTTGTTATGGAAGGATAGGTATCTGGATTGGGCCAGGTCAGAAACATAAGGAATATTAAGGTCGTTATGGATGATTTTGTTTGTAACAAAGTAAGGAGCAGTGAGGATTTTGGATTGTAAGGATTGGATACGAGAGGAATTCAATGGCTTAGTGGAGCCCCAGAGCTCAACTCCGTAAGTCCAAATAGGTCTTATTGTAGTCATGTATATGAGTCTTTTGTAATTGACTGGGAGCTTAGAGCGTTTGTCTAGTAAGTGCTGGAGTAGTCGGAAACGTCGAGCTGTTTCTTGTCGTTTCAGTCTGGTATGAGGATTCCAAGTTATACGTTTGTCTAAGTGGAGTCCAAGGTATCGAATTTGTTCAACGGGGATAAGTGGGGTGTTATTAAAAGATACTGTAGGACAAGAGGACATAGGTTTACGACGAAGGGTAAAGGTGATTTGATGGGATTTATTGAAATTTATTTTTATCCTCCAGTTTTGACACCATTCTTCAAGGTTTGTGATGTGTGATTGAAGGGTTTGGGATGCAATTGCTGGGTCGTTATTAACTGATAGGACACTTGTATCATCGGCATACGTTGTAATGACTGTGTTAGGATGGGTTGGGATATCAGCTGTATAAACTGTCTAAAGGATAGGACCTAGGATACTATCTTGAGGAACACCAGCGGACTGGGAAAAAAGGGATGAATAGGCATTATTATGATTTACTTTGAAGGATCTATCAGTTAGATAGGAACGGATAATGAGGAAGTATGTAGGGTATAGGAATTTGCGGAGTTTGTAAAGCAGTCCTGGGTGCAAGACTCGATCAAAAGCCTGTTCTACATCGAGAAAGACTCCCGTGCAGTACATTCTGCACTCCAATGCAGAGGAGACAACATCCACCACACGATGGCATTGCTGGATAGTGGAATGGGATCTACGGAATCCAAATTGATGATCTGGGATAATGTGATTAGAATCTAGGATGGGGTACAGGCGTTTTAGGATGAGCTTTTCCAGGATTTTGCCTAGGATGGGTAAAAGGGAGATAGGGAGATAGGGATGGGTTTTCTGGTGGCTTTTTGTGTTTATGTATCATTTTGATAATAGATAATTTCCAAGGGTCAGGAAAGTATGTGGATCGCAGTACAGCATTATATATATAAGTAAGGAATAGAATGGCTTTCCGAGGAAGCAGTTTTAGGATCTGGGATGTAATTAGGTTGTGTCCAGGAGCTTTTCGGGAAGGTAACTTTTGAATGATGTCGGATATTTCTGAAGGATGAAAGGCTTTAGGTGGAAGAGACATTTGGAGTGGGATATCCAGTTCTGCTTCAATACATTCAAGGTGATTAAAGTGTAATAATAAAATTTATAACTGCACTATTTTCAATATGGAACTTTTTAGGCACGAAGAAAATTTGTAAACACAAAGAAGTATATAATTCGAATCCCGCCGTAGGTGTCCATTTTTTAGAAATAATATAATTTAATTTTTATGATCACTTACAGTTACTTTTTATGATAATTTTCAGTTATTTTGCATTTCAGAAATGAGCAAATACACAAGAAAGCAAAGTGTTGTGTGATTGCCGCTCTAATTTTGCATTGCTATGTGTGGCCGGTAAGGCATATGTCCCGTTTATTAAAAGTTTAATAAAAGGTTAAAATGAATTTTTGAAAGCTAAGATCTTGCAGGGTCACTCAAAATAGCATTTTAAACAAATTTATGCAAAAAAAAATATCCGTTTTTCTGGACTTCAGGATGCGCCATCTGGTAGAAACACGCAAATGAGCTCCTGCAGTCAAAGGGTTAAGTTAAATAGAGCATAAATTTTCACATAAAAAAAAAGAAGTTATTTTGCTTCTAATATTAGCAAAAAAAGTAAAATATTAAGTTTTCTAAGTATAAAATAGAGAAACATTTGTATTTTTAAAAAACAAAAATATAAAAATAAAACCTAGTTAATATTGAGTAGAGGAATTTTAATTAAAATTGTTCAGGCCTATTGGTTCTGTTGGGATAACTAATCCAGCAAGAGGCCATGTGGCCCTTTTTGCTAATCTCTGACGATTATCTTAAGATTACCATTATAAAGATGGAGAGCGATTTCATTAAAACTCATTACAAGCTTGTCATAAGAAATAAACAAACATCACAGTCATACCAAGAGTAAAAAATAATAATACAAAGGTATTAGATAAAAAAAATATATTAAAAAAGTAGAATTTTAATAAATCAATAGACATTTAATAAATATCCACTCATTATCAAAAGGAAATAATTATAAGAAAAAATACATAATGATTTTAATTAACAAGACAAAACAAAACAATAAGATATAATTTAAAATACATAAATGTATTTTATATGTCAATCAAAATAAAAACTGAATTTCAATAAAAATGATACATTTTATATAACTTATGGTAAAATTAAATAAAACTATCAAACAATACATAACATTATTTTTGGACAAACATTTTCCTATTAAACTTTATCACATAAAATATCACAGTTACTAGAAAACACCCCTGCACAGAAAAGTAGAATGTGTTCCAAAGATTAATACATTTAACCATAAACACTGTAATGCAAAACCAATTGATTTTAACAAAATTAATATATTTATATTAATATTATAATAATCAAGATTATAACTTAATAATAAAAAATGAAATTTAGTCTTTACATAATCACTTGCAGGTACAAGCAATTAGTATCTCTTAACATGAAAAAATTGACAAAATGTAAACGAAAAAAAAACAAGAGTTATTTTTCAAATACCTAAAGAGGCATGTAAAAACAAAATAAATACATAATTCAAGTCAATACTATAAATTCTTTTCTAAAACAAACATCTTATAAATCATCTAATGTTTTATAATTAATTTTCTTTTTCCGTGACTTATATAACAAGATGTTTAGTCATCATTAAAATAAATTTCATAATAATAATCAGAATAAAATGGATTATATGTAAAATATAAAACACTGACATAATCTAATTTTTGATTCTCATAAATCTAAGATAATAGTTTTACATATTTTGTTAAGCAAATTTGGAAGACTGAGGAAGGGAGCGAGCCAAGAATTCAAATAACTAAAACTAAAGCATTTAAATAATTTTAAAAGCTTCTCTTAATTATTTCTATAGATAGGACGGAATACAATAAATTAATTTTTGAGCTTTTGAACTCATATAAAAGGAATATTAATAAAAATTTAAAACTAAAGATCGTATTTTAAGAATTATACATATATACATACAAATTCATTAAATATTTTTACTTAATTATATCGTATACTAACAAAAATAAACCTAAAATAAAAACTGAGCGAAAATTCTGAAATCTTTCACATCTTTCATAAAAGATCAAAGTATTTCTCAATAAATTACAAGATAAAAAATGAGCATTAGAACTAAATGTACTTAATACATTATTGTGCCTATTTTTTTTAACCAGTTAATTATTTTATCAGCTTTTATGTAACTAAAAAAATTATAAAAATATAAGTTTCGTCAACACTAGATATACGGATGGAATTAGATACCATTTGTTTAAAAACAAAATCCATCACATTGTTAATGAATCAATAAGCTTATTTCCATTAATACATATAATTTGAGTTTGAGTTTCATTCATTTACTATGAATAAAGGTTTCACAATTATTTTTTTTTTTAAATATTCCTCACAAAAATAATTTTGAACCTGAGTATGTATCCTAAAATTTAGAGAATTAAATTTAACAAGAGTGATGAATTCCATAAATCTAATGAAAAAGTTCCTTATTAAACAAACAGGAAAACTACATGTTTTATCAAGATACAGGACTTTAATGTTCTGTCTATAGTTTAGTTTAATTTTCATATGTTGATGTACTCTGCAGTCCCAGAAAAACATAAAAGAAGTGTCAATGTTTCTTTCTTTGGAAAATCACCTATCTTACCACCAAACTGAGTATTGATAATTCAGAAACAGCCCGATTTAACAATAATTATAATTTATTTTCATCAGTCATTTTTTCTTTGTTTTGCATTAGAACACAAAATACTTATAAGTCAAGTAAATTAATGGCAATAATATCTAAGTACATATTCCCGAGTCACAATCCTTTCTATTAAGGATAATCCAAAAATTGAAATATATAAGTATAAAACACTATCATTTCTATGATATATATGATAATAAAATAAATAATAACAATTTTTTCTAAAGTATTAGGGACCTCATGCTTCACTTGGGCTGTTTTGTTGTGCAGCATCTATAACAAATAAAAAGTAAATTGAAAAATCATGATATGTAAAACTTAAAAATAAAATCTTAAGGGTTGTGATAAATTATACCAAATAAGGAAGTAAACTTTCTACATTTTATTTTGAAATATTCTAATTATATTAATCAAATGAACTACAGATTGCAAAATGAAGCAAAAAATATGGTTTATGAATAATTAGTAAAAAAATAAATAAATAAAAGCATAAGAAAAACAAACCTCACCCAGGCTCATTACCCCATATGGGGTGGTGGATGTGGGGAAGGTCGGTGGAAATTCCTTGGAAGTTCCTCCTAGCTAAGTCCGACGGACTTGCTGACCAGCAATGAGAGGGGCCCTCCAGACTTGCTGGAGGGTGTGACATAGGATTAAATGCAATATTCACATATCTATAGTTATTACACCACACACCAGAAATAATCATGGATCTCCCTGAGGTAAAACACTCATTATCCGGAGGTAAACTAGTCCCCTGTCTCTGGGTGGGGACTGCTTTAGGGGATACATGGTGCAAGTTGAAAAATAGGGGTTTAAGTATTTTGAAGTGGAATGTAAGGAGTTTGAATTCAGCAGGTGGGTTAAAATTGGTCGTGAATGACGTTAATGGATACAATTTGGATATCACGGCTCTGCAAGAGGTTTGCTGGCCAGGGGAGGGCTCAGTAAGGGAAGGAAAGTACATTATTTGGTACGGAGGAAGTGGTAATCATTGTTTAGGTACCGGGTTTCTAATTAGGAATAGATTGCTATCCACTTTGAGGGGCATACAATTCTTTAGTGATAGAATTTTGATAGCCATATTTCAGGGATGTTGGCTTAAGATCGAGTTAATAAACATACATTGTCCGACTGAGGACAGTGACAATGAAATCAAATGCGAATTTTACGATAAACTCAAATTGGTTTATGATAAACTACTGCGAAACTAGATGAAAATAATTGTAGGTGACACAAACACAATGGTGGGGAGAGAAGAAAATTATTATCCGACGATTGGTAAAGAAAGATTGCACAAATATAGTAATGATAATGGGATCTGTCTGATAAATTTTGCCATCTCGAAAAACCTGATAATTAAAAGTACTGCATTTAAACATTAGGATATTCATAAATATACCTGGACATCACCGGATTGGCAACAACGAAATCAAATCGATCATGTCTTGATACAACATAGCTGACAAAGCAGTATAGTTAATGACCGGTCTTATTGCGGAGCAGAATGTGGGTCGGATCATGAATTGTAATAGCGTAACTTCGACAAAAACTTGATATAAAAAAGAGAAAAGACAACAGTTTCGATATCAAGAATTCTAATTTGGAAAAATTAAAAAATCCATCAATGAGAACTCAAATCGAACTAGATGTTAAGAATAGGTTTGAAGCTTTAGAACCTTCTGACGAGGACCGCGATGATATTGACAGATTATGGGGAGAAATCAGGGATAAAATTAAAGCGTTTGGTAACTCGTGTCTTGGGAAAAAGGAAAATAAAAACAGCAAACTGTGGTTCGATGAAGATTGTTTAAACATATGTGATAAGAGAAAAATTACTAAATTAAAAGCTCTAAATAATCCTAGCAAAGACAATCTTGAATACTTCTAAACCTCAAAGAATGAAACGATAAAATCGCTCAAAAACAAAAAAATGGAGTATCTTAAAAATAAAATAATTGAAATAGAAGCTAATAGAATCAAAAATAAGATAAGAGACATGTACAAAGGTACAAACAGATCACGTAAATGTTCAGGGCCTGTCACATCTGGAATTAGGGATGAAAGTAACAATATGCTGACCAATCCAGTAGTTATATTAAATAAGTTTAAGAACCACTGTAACAGTATTTTAAATACAGGAAATTATGATCTGTGTTCTACTTCTGAGCACCAGAGTGCTGAACCGTTAATAGAAGAACCAAGTAAAGAGAAAGTTGAAGTAGCTATCGGAAAATTAAAATCATATAAAGCAGTGGGAACCGATAATATTCCTAGTGCACTAATTAAGGCATGCGGGAAGCTGGAGTTTTTAAAATACATTTGTTGGTTAAAAAGATCTGGGAAAATGAGAAATTACCTGAAGAATGGAAAGAATCTATTCTTATTCCGATTCACAAAAAGGGTCCAAGGACGGATTGTAATAATTATCTAGGAATTACACTACTTCCGGTATGTTATAAAATATTCACTTTAATCTTAACTAGTAGAATCACAGAATATGCCAAGGAAATTATCGGAGATTACCAATGCTGCTTTAGATAGAACTGTTCGACTATTGATCAAATATTTTCTTTACAACAAATATTGGAGAAAAAATGAGATTAAAACGGTGTTATTTAATAGCTGTATATCGATTTCAAAAAGGCTTACGATTCTATTGACTGCCAGAAACTGTATAATATTCTAATCAAGCAGGGGATTCCAAAAAAATTAGTTAATCTAGTCAGAATGTGCTTGACAGAAACAGTCAATAAAGTTAGAATCAGTAATTATTTATCCGAAGAGTTTGAGGTTCACTTGGATTTAATACTAGGTGATTCCCTTTTGCCTGTCCTGTTCAATTTGGCATTAGGAAGGTAATGGATACTGAAAAATGGTTGGATCTGGGTGGGACAACATCCATTCTTGACAATGCAGATGATCTGGTTCTGTTAAGCGAAGACACGGAAACTATAAAACTAAATGAAAAAACATTAATGGAAGCCAGTAACGAACTAGGGCTCAAAATAAACACGGATAAGACAAAATATATAGTTAGCTGCAAAAATGGCAAAATTGCTGGTGATATTGATATAGAAGGTAATATGTTTGAAGAAGTAGAGAAGTTTAAGTATCTAGGGTCACAATACATAGCACTAACAATATCAACACTAATACACACAACCACAATTATACAATATATGATATATACATATTTCGGTGAAACCGATACAAGACAATTTCTGAAATTTATAGGGCAAGAAAAAATAAAAAAATAATATGTTTTAAAACCAGAATATTAGAATGCACACACAGCAAATAACATAGTCCTATGAACATAGACAAAAAGATATGGTCACTTAAATAATTTCAAATTGAATAAATAAATAACGATAATCAACCCCTAATTACCATATATGTGATGATGAATGATCCCAAGGGAGTCCAGAATAATACCCTCGGCCAACACTGCAAGCTCCCTGACATCAACACCTAGTTCCTCAAAGAAGTTCTCTGTTATTTTAGGAATCATTCCGCGAGACCCAAACCATAGGCCTCTCACCATGAACTCTCTCTCTCCGAAGGTCTAGCAGAATTTCTCTTTTAGGAAAAGGATGCATTTCTCGTAGATTTCCTTCTTTTCTCTTTCTATTCATTGGGCTTGATCGAGGTCATTGCTCTCATAGTAAACAGTTAAATTCAAGACCAGTGCTGCCATTCCGGTCCTGGAGAATGCAACTATATCCGCTTATCTTGTTGATCCATCACTATCAATAGAATAGACCTCGTCGAAGCATATGAATTCCCTTTCCCTAAGGAGCCTCATCAATTCAAATTTTACCCTATGGTGCCGGCGTGTTATGAGAAGGGAGTTGTTGGGGCATTTTCCCAGCACATAGGCTGGTGTTTCAGACTCTCTGCCCAGAAATTTTCAATTAATAAGTCAAGATATAAAGCTATAGATGGATTGTATGAAGTATTGTTGTATGACAGACAGGCATATTATTTGAGATGGTTTAGGAGGCAAATCTAGTCTAAAGAAATCTGTCATACTGTATTCTAGAAGTAGAAAAAGAACATAAAAATACTTTTTTTCCATTTCAGTTTTGTCTAACAATAAGCGCTAAAAAAAACAGAGCTGCCGAAGAACATACTACCGGAAGAGGCGCTACTGTTGCCCGGGGAACAGATGATATAGATCACCAAAAAGATGCTGTCCCGAAAAGTAGTATAATAGAAACAGGATAAATCTATGCAATAGAAACTGATCCAGAATCAGCATCAACCCTTTCATAAATTTTCTTTGAGAATTTCCAAGAAAATTTTGTAAAGGCACGTCTATCACCGAAATCGCCCGGTAATTTTTTATTAATTCCTGTTGAAGTAAATTAGCCTAAGGTGATGGTATTAAGATAAATTTATATAATCATGAATGTCTTGACTTGTTCCAGCAAGGGGAAATGTGAATGGAAAAAGATATCTTGCAATAGCGCAGGAAATGATTCTATGAACAGGCGAAGAGGGCCAGAATAAGAGGCTACAGGACGTAAGTGTTAATGTTAATAAAAAGAAATTTCGTTATGTTTCGTCAACACAACAGTAGATGCAATTGTTAATTATAATATCTCACTCATTATACAGAGAAATGAAGAATTAATAAGTCAAAATATAAAGCTATAGATGGATTGTATGAAGTATTGTTGTATGACAGACAGGCATATTATTTGAAATGGTTTAGGAGGCAAATCTAGTCTAAAGAAATCTGTCATACTGTATTCTAGAAGTAGAAAAAGAACACAAAAATACTTTTTTTCCATTTCAGTTTTGTTTAACAATAAGCGTGCAAAAAAAACAGAGCTGCCGAAGAACATACTACCGGAAGAGGCGCTACTGTTGCCCGGGGAACAGATGATATAGATCACCAAAAAGATGCTGTCCCGAAAAGTAGTATAATAGAAACAGGATAAATCTATGCAATAGAAACTGATCCAGAATCAGCATCAACCCTTTCATAAATTTTCTTTGAGAATTTCCAAGAAAATTTTGTAAAGGCACGTCTATCACCGAAATCGCCCGGTAATTTTTTATTAATTCCTGTTGAAGTAAATTAGCCTAAGGTGATGGTATTAAGATAAATTTATATAATCATGAATGTCTTGACTTGTTCCAGCAAGGGGAAATGTGAATGGAAAAAGATATCTTGCAATAGCGCAGGAAATGATTCTATGAACAGGCGAAGAGGGCCAGAATAAGAGGCTACAGGACGTAAGTGTTAATGTTAATAAAAAAAG